GACCTTTAACACGCCAACTTTTTCAACTTAAAATTTTTAATTTTTTTGTTTTTGTTTTTATGCACAGCTGCAACATACAGCTGTTGTGCTTCTTTTTTTCACTTTGCTATTTGTGGTATTCTTCGTTATTCCGCCCTTTTTATTTCACTTCCGTGCACATTCATTGCGACTAGTACACGGTGCTCAATGTTATTGTTGCTTTTGTGTGAATTATATTTTAAATGTCAACTTTTTTTTGTATGTACAGAATTTTCTAGTGCACTTAAAAGCGTACATATGTATGTACATGTGTATGTTTTTATATTGCTACATGAATACACCTGCGCATACTTGTATGTGCAGCCGTTTGTGTGCATTCGGCATGTTTTTGATTTATTTTATTTTTCATTACTATTCTGATTATAATTATGACTATTATTACATTCATTACATCATGTGAATGGAATGCTGGCTTTTGTGGCATACCTTCCTTGCTTAACTGCACTTCTGCGGTAAAAGAATGAAATGCCAAATGTCACCGCGGCATTCATTGAAATTTTAAACTAAATGCAAGTAACTTTTGACGAAAAAAGTTTTTGGTTCAGTTTTCGGGAGAGATGTTCTTTTATTTTTCAGTGTAGTATCGTTCTATACAATTGATTCTATGTATTTATCTTCCAGTGTATGAAAAAGCTTCTCATCAAAACCCTCTGCTGTTCGGAATTCGTTTACAATTTTTGGTCCCTCGATTTATTTGTTTACTTTTATTCATGAAGCACTGGTCGGTTCGGAGCCAGTGGGCTAAGAAGCCTACAACTTGGAAATTTTTGAATAATCCCCGCTAGCCTCCGGCTATTAACTCTCTCACCGCGACTGCAGAAGTCTGTGGAGGTGTCGTACCGCCGCTGACCCCTATCAATGCGAGCTGCTAAGGAAGCATCTGTATTTCAAAACCTGTGGAGGGTGCTCAAAATTACCTTCATACCTAAGGCAGGCAAGGTTTCACATGTGTTTAATTGGCATTTCAGAGCAAATAGTTTTATTTCATTTCTCTTCAAGAGACTTGGGAGAGAGATTGATCTACTCGAAGGAAAAGGATTCCTACAGTCAAATAGTTGTAGAAATCATTGAGCAGTTATTCTGGCAGAAGATTGGTTCTGCCTGAAGTCGAGGTTGATATTGACAGGTTTATTTGCATCAGAAAAGTTGCGGCAGAGTTGGGCAGCAATAAGTTTGTTGAGGTATAATGAGGCTCACCCTTCCTTTGTGTTGTTGTCGTCAGCGACGTGCGAGGACTTGCTGCTGTGAGCTCAAACTCAAATTTATGCACCTGGGTATTGTGAACTTACACACTTGAGGATGTCTAGCAGTTAGATGTAAAGGTAGGCGGAGGTGTCTTCGGTAAGAAACTCTCCATCAAACTCAAATTTAGACTTCCGAGTTACTGCAATAAAGGAAGCAATTAACTGGATGCTAATAAATATCATATTTTTAAAGAGGTCAGTATATATTCCGGTAGACAAGGGTAATCAGGATGCTTGGCTCATTGATGATACGTTCACAAACAGTTACACTGGAGGTCCTTCTGGTCTAAGATTTAGCCATTACGCCCTAAGGAGCTCTTTAAACTAAACAAGTCACATCACTTGTTACTGGTAGGAATTATACCTGGTCATTGTCCGATCGAAAATCATGCGGTAAGGGTGTTAATCATTTCAAGTCCTTACTGTAGCAGGTATGCAGATAATGATAAGGTAGTATCATCTCAACATCTGCTACTCAGGGGTCACACTACTTTCCCACCCCAAGAAGTTTTCGTACAGAGAGACAGATTTCGACCGAACGAGTTTCGAATGTCCTAACAGCTTTTGTTTGGACTGCGATGAATGTGCGGAAACAATCAAAAAATTTAGTTCGGTTTGCGGCCTCTTAATTTTTTTCCTTTTACTGAAAAGTACTTTATTTTCAATGCCTTGAAATGCTTAGGTGAAACCTGAAGCTTAATGTGACATCTTTTATAATCCAGCCTGTAGGTCTAAGAAATATATATATATAATCAACTAAACTTGCATGTTTTTAAAATTATTCTAATGCAATTTTTAATATTTTTTCTTCCAGCATGGATATTTGCCACTGGAACTTCAGCAACGCCTCAGAGTTGGTCTCATTTCGTTGGTTAATCATTGCAATGATTTATATAGCGACAATAATATTAACAATCTGCTCCGATTCAATTGATGAACGACTCTATTTCAATAACAATGCGAATGTGACGCTAACACAAGAAGAATTGGTAAGTTAAGGGGTGTAAAATTCAAGAAAATATGTTCAATAGAAATTACATTTTGTGGAAGAAGCATTTTTTATTAAGTAAAAAACTAGTAAGTTCCTGGCAAACTTTTGTCCATAGATTCCAAACTATCCGAATTATATTACAACATTATTTAAAGCAGCAGACCTGCGTCGCTATTACCATCTAGTTAGCGACCATGGATGATCTATTGTAATATATCTCTTTTCGATTAGGGGTCTTCTTTATGCCATGAATCGGAAAGGAGCGTCGAAAGAGCTCTTGGCTGAATGCCACTTAGCTCATGTGCTTCTAAGTACAGCGGCCATTAGTAGCTCAGCTGATACCTAGTGGTTACAAAGTTACAAATAATAGGCTGTGCTTTTACGGGCTCTCGTAGCATTACTTGCACTGTACACTGCAAATAATCTCAGCTGTGAGAAGTGGTCCATTACTCCGCTGTGCCCAGCATGGAAGCCTGTAACCATTTATATTTCCTGCCGTGATAAGTGAAAGAGCGTTTCCTCGTTGATGTTTAGCCTGCACTTGTAAGCACTTGTCAGGAGTTGATCGGGGGGGTTTTACAGAAAAAGCATAAATCTTCATAAAATGTTCAATTATGCACTTCAATTGCGTTCAAAAACGATTTTGGATGAGTTTACAAAACGATTTATGAGGATTTACTCGATCACGAATGATTTGCTTTGTAGCCTCTTTCCTGGCGAGAATATCTACCAGTTCATTGCCCATGGATCCATTATGTATGTCCCGGTATCTAAATGGGGCATGTAAAGCCGCTTCCTGGACACGATGCGTATTAAAAGGTGAAGGCAGTCGCCCGACAGCTGTGAGATGAACTCTTGAGCTTTCACTGCAGTCGGAGTGTTTGTGTGTGTGTGAAATAGTTCAATGACATGCATCTCAGTCTGAAATCCGAAGATAAAATGGAGCCTGTGATATGCATGCCAGTCTTGGATACATCCATACATAAATTTTCATAAAATTTGGCGCTTCATCGAACTGAGTAAGAGCGATGGTCTGGATTATGTTGTCTTTAAGGTAGTCGGTCCATTTCGTCTTATTGACATATGCCCGCCACGTGCTTATAAAGTCAAAATCGGCTCACATCCCCATTGTCCGATCGGGGATCCATACCGCCTCAGTTGCCTGTGGCATGATGCGGTGGAGTCAAGTCAACACTTTTTACAAGGCTGATCAGCTTAAGTGAGGCTAAGATTGATGCATCTTAGTTCGCATTTTGCGGTCAACCTTGGGGAACTCTTAGAGGTTGATATTAGCCGTCTTGATTGCTTCGTGTTTAGTTTAGGGCGTTTGGCCGGTTGAGTAGTGGTTACCGATCGATTCGTTAGTGATTACCGTTCAAAATCACGCCTTATCTGATCGAAACTGGATGCCTCAAAGGATCTAGCAGCGATACTGGAGACCCTACTTTGAACACCCCCGACTACTTCAGTGCGCCGAAGAAACTTAGAAAATTGATTGAAACCTACATAAGTACTTAAGTGTGATCAGAGAATGTAGACGCGATTGTGTGCTCCTAACAAAAACTCTCTCTCTCTCCCTCTCTGTGCTTAGGACCTGCTGTAAAAAAGCATAATTTTAGATTTTCAAAATTAGTATTTAAAACTTCTAACTGCGTATCTTCTCAAATGTAATAAAAACACATATCTTATTTATTTTCCTTACTTCGGAGCAGTATAGCAACAGCGTGTTGAGTGTATGGAGTAGTTTGTCGGTGACGCGCAGCATCGGCGCCATCTGTGGTTGGATAATGATCGGCTTGGCGCCGCACGAAGATCTACTTTACGAGCATTTGCTGGATCTAACCAAATTCCAAGTGACAAATAATTGAATGTAAAGAAGAGAATGCGAAGGAAGAAGGTGCAATGAAAACGAGAGGCAATACTAAATATTAGTTAAGTAAAATAAAAATATATGAAAAAAATGTACAGTTAGGTTAAAAAGTATAAGAACTATATATACAAAAAAAACGAACTTCAAATATTAGTAAAAAAGCAACAAACCCAATTTGGGAGAGATATGAACATTTAAAAATGTTTGCTTTAAAAATGGAAAATTATGAAATGGAAGTTATGAAAACACGCCTATAAATTAATGCTAAGCTTTGTTTATAGTTTGCGAAATAAGGGCGCAAAAAAGTTGTTGCTCAACTACTTAGTATTAAGCATTTTTGTTACTTTTTTCGAAATTTGCTATCAAATACCAAATACCTGCGTTGCTTAAGTATGTGTATGCATATGTATTGTAGATAAATGTACTCTAGTTTTTCTTGTAACTAAAATTTCATTTTTAAAAAATTTATTTATTTGTAACCTATTTACTAGCAAAATTATATATGCAATTAAGGCTTTAAAATATCATATAGATTTATGTGAAAATTATTTAACCAATATACATATATAATCGAAATGGAAAATTTGTGAAATTAAAACTTAGTACCATGTAAGCCCTTCAAAGGCCGCTAGAATCAACCGAAACCAAAAAAAATTACCCAAATACGAAATTGAAAATTTTCGAGTAACCAAAAAAGTTAAAAAATAAACTAAAAAAAAAAAACATAAGCATAATTTAGCAGTTAGGCTTAGCAGCAAAAAAGCATACAAGAAATTATTGTTACGAATATGTGTATGTGCATAATATACATACATACATATGCATATTTATGTGAGTGTGTTTTGTAGTAAGAAGCACCGTTAGTTAAATTTGCGTTTAATGTTGTTTATTAAAATTGTTTGTGCGCAAATTTTTTCACTGCAAACATATAATAAAAAAAAGCAACTCAAGTACAGTTATAGTTTAGAAAAATATGTATATGAATTTGTTTTTTTTCCATTACCTACTAAAATATATAAAAAAACGCAAAGAATTTAAATACTCAGTTAAAATTTGCTAAATCGTAACTAGAAATTATAGAAAATACATATTTGTATAGCAAGTTGCAAAAATGTTTGTGATTTTTTGACCAGCTTCGAGAGTTCTTTTGTAAATTTTACAGTTTTATATGCAGCCTACTTTCCCAGGATAAAAAGATAATAACAACAACACTTAGATGTGACTATGGATACTTTGTGTGTAGAAATTGTTTACGTGCTTTGTAATAAAACCAACACAAATAGTTATAAACATGCATACATATACATATATACGACATATGCCTATATAGATAACGAAAAAACGAATAAAAAAATAAGTGTGTAGGATTAAATATATATAGATACATATACGTACATATATGAGAGAACTAGAAAAAAAAATTGACGAATATTGCGCATGATTTTGTTTAAGTGGTTCTTTGCCAGCAACAATACGAAAATGTGAAATATTTTTTTTTTTTTTTATATACGAGGCGCTGCTGATAAGTTCAAAGCTGAGTATGGTTAAATATTTTTTACTTTTCATTGTATTTCAACTGAAGCGAAATGCACTTTTAAAATCGTGAATGTATATACTGGTAAAATGATTTTTCACGGCCGCTTTCATCTCAATGTCGCCGCGACATCTTTGTCCGCGTAAATCCTTTTCAAATTTGAGAAAAGGGGTCCGGACTGTAGGGTGCGTGGCCAATTTCACTTCAGAAGCACTTTAAAGCAAAACGCCTTTTGAAAATTTATTTGCGTTATGCAACTAGCTAGCGCTCCAACTCATAAAAGATGTCAAAAATTACAGTACATACATATGTACTCTGAATATGAAAGCTAAATGAGAAAAAAATATAATATTGCATTTTAAAATATTTTTGAAAGAATCAGGTTTGTGTGGCATATTTTTTGGTCAAGTTTTGTCACCAGGTGGGAATAGGAATAGGGCTGTAAGCGTACTCGTTTCATTAAAATTTCCCTTCATATTTTAGTTCTCAATTTAAATACGCAAATCCAGAGAAAAAAACGAATAGAAATCGATATTAAACTGTGATAAATATTAATTCATAAAAAATATGAAAAAAGCTCTTAAGTTATATCGACGCCGAAGTAAAAAAAAAACATGCATTAATAATAAGGGCGAATGGTCATCAAAGAAGAAAAGGAGCCAAAACGATTTACTAAATGCCGCTTTCTGAACTTTTTTTTTTTTCATACGGCCCATTGTTTCAGCAGAGCAAAATTTGTGTTTAAAGGGCAGATAAATTTGATTATGACCTCTGCTTAGTTTTTATTTCGCATATTCTATTCTCTTATTGTTGCTGGCTAACGAGAAACCTAAAAGAAATGTTTTCTTTTTGTAAATACGTTGAAAAATCTATTCAAAGTGAAAAACTATCCTATATACATACCTACATAAAAAAATTAAAAGTAGTGAGCATTTGTAAATAATAAATAAAACTACACATACATATATTAAATGGTTACGAATTGCTTTAAATTTATTTATGATTATTAAAAAAAATATAATAAATTTAAGTGTAATTATTATTCATAAGACGAACTCGTTACGGCTATTCACATATAAATGTTTTGTTGTTTTAAGGTATACATAAATTCATACATTCATATTCGACGGAAGAAATGACTGCTAAAGTTTTCAGTCCGTCAAATTTCCTTTAAACATACACTGGCAGACAAAGTGGATGAATGCTGTTTTATCTTTAATAATTAGAATGTTTTGCAAGCAATTTTTTTTTTGGTATTTTTTATAAAAATATAGTTAATGCTTTACCAAAAACCATGTAAATTACACTTGCCAACTTTATACAGAGTTTAGAAAAATTCCACAAATTTTAATCTTAATTTCGAGCTTTCTAACCAGAATTTTTATAAATTTTTTTTTGGCTTATAAAATTTTAATAAAATTTGTGCAAGTTTTGCGCAGCTAAAAAATCGCATTGATTTTCATTACTTTTTTTTTTTTGTAGACGGCATTTTGCACTGTTTTCCATATAAACATAAATTTCTTGTGGAAGAATATGCACAAAACCGTTTGCGAAAATATTAAAAAAAAATCAACGGTAGTTTTCCTCAATTTCGATGAATCATATTTTCAGAAAAAAATAACGAAAATAATTTAGCTTGATAAACATTGTAAATATTAAAAACAAAACACCACTCTTCCAATTTTGACCATCAGTATATATGTTTTCATAGTTTTTTTTTCTGTTAAACTGTTTATGCTATTCAAGCACCAATTTAAGCGGCTCGGCAACAGCAGCATAAACGAAATAATTTTTCTTTTCAACTTAAAATTTTACTTTTCCAATTCTACTATTATTTTTATACTAACCATTCAAAGTAGATACATACATACATATATCATAATTCATGTTTTATCCTTTATATGACATATTTCTATTCCACACTTCATACTTAAAATTTCGCATTTCTTATTTATGCAAAAAAAAACTTAAGAATAAATCATCTTTTAAGTAAAAAAAAAAAATGCAGTGTAAATGCTAAAAATGCTCTATCATTTATAAAATGCTATTAAGCGCAACATAGTTCCATATTTTGTGTATTTTTCAGTTGGCATTACTAAACTTACTTGCTTTGCCTTATACTGCAGATTTGTATACATACATACATACATACTTATGTAAAAAATACTGTATATTTTTTTGTGTGCGTTATTGAGTTCTGCGTTAATTCTACATACATAAATACATATTATGTATATTTCATAAATATATAAAGAAGTATAGAAACTTATGCAATAATTATAGGCGTCAATATTTCATGAAAAGTATTGCATTACTTATAATATATAAAAATGTAAATGAAACAGAAAATAACAATAACTAAACAATGAAAAAAAAAACAAACAAAAAATAAATCACAACAAATGTAACAATAAATAATATTATGCGCATATTTGAGAAAATGTTAAAAGAAAATATCGTTGGTTTTATTTTGTATTTGGAATATTCAATGAAGAACGTTTTTCCCACACAAATATTAGAGGCAGGCCAAGCGAAAACAAAAGCTTTCAAAAAGTGAATCTTGCTATTGTTTTGCGAGGTGGCTACACACTAGTACAAATAGACTAGTAATAAAGAACTGTATTTGATATAAGAAATTGAGAAGAATGGAGACGCTGATGCGTTAGTGAAAAAAAACCGTCGACAGCCCACAATAGTTTCCAAACATAATCGAAAGTGAAAAAGAAGTGAAGGCCAATGTGGTTTTCCTTAACGATTTAGCTTCAACATCTACTACTTACATCGTGTGGGTGCTAAGCCACAGAGACATTCAAGGTAATTGAGCAGCGGACGAACTTGCGGGGAAGGGAACCTCACTGTCTGACGTCAACTCCTCTCATGTAGCGGGCATACCGTTATCTACCTTCGTCCAGAAGGCAAACAAAAGATGGTTGGAAGAACCCATAACCTCGACAAATCTGGCCCAGCCTCGCCTTTATGTAGGCGAGAAGACGCTCATTTCATCACCACCTTTTTGTCTGTTTAGCCGACCTAAATAAGGTAGGCATTCACGAATTATCGCGCATTCTGAACTTAAGCAACTGGTGCTACTTCTAGTTGAACGGATCGGTTCGAATTCGAGCTCTCAATTGGTATCACAACGGATCCACTGGGTCTAAGTGTGCCTCTCTCCTACGCTGGATGAAGGCAGCCGTTTCAACTTAACATAGTCTAAGCTATTTAAAAATAAAGGGCTTGATTTGATGTTCAGCTCAGACTCCCTCTAGTATCGAGAGATTCGGCATGTTTAGTTTAATCAGATCTTTAGACCGTGGCCAATGGAACTCCACCCTCTCTTTATTCGATGACAACAGCTACAACAATTTGGAATGTACCATGAATGATGCAGGCTTCTTAATTGACGCCTGGATATCAGAGAAGCTGCGCACACATTTATGAGAATCCTATCCGCTGTTTGTTTTATGGTAGTTACGTTGCCCAATCCAACTTCGATTCATTCATTCAAATATTTACTGAACTCTGCATTCAAAGATTGGTAATTTCCTCGAAGAAAATTGAGTGATCAAGGATATAATTCGGAATTGCTCTGCGATGGTCGGTTAAGGGGCGGATGTGACCAAAGCATTTTAGAATCACAGAGTGTGGTTAAAAGTAAGTAATATTATAGACAGCGCCTCGCAGCTTAATCGATATGCAGGTGGCGATACGTTTGCAGGCTATGTGGACGAGTAAATGGCTTAGAACTGCGTTAGGCGTTAGAGTAGATTTCCCAAAGCCAAAAACTACATTCCGCAGAGCAGAGACTCAACTGGATACCTATGGCTAACCTACAACAACGTAAGTCTAACAACGCCTTCTTATACTTTTCTCTACGTTTAGCTTCTAAGATAATATGCCGTCGAAGATAAAGATCGAATACTTCACTCTATAAGAAAGCGTAAGTAGAATGCCTCTCAGTCAGGATGATTGAACATTAATTATTTAATATTTCCTTACAAGCGGCAATAGGTTGGGTTGGTGTGGCAGTTGGTGCAAATAACCAACTCACTTGGGCCTTATAAAGCGTAGGACTAGCTTTATTCCTACACCGGATAATTCCGTAAGAGAGCTAAAGAAGTACCTACCTTAAAAGCCTGCTCTGCCTTTGGCCAAAAGCGGGCAGTCTGCAGTTCAAATTCATTTCCAAGAGTAAGTGCTGAGCCATGGCTGAATGGTCATACATGGTTTTTTCTTTTCTTTTTCAAGGCAAAGAAGCACTGTGTTAACAGCATTTCAACAGGACACCACATTAACTTTTGAAAGTGGGTTTGGCAGCGGAATTAAATTTGTCTTTTAGTTATTTATTTGATATCTTGGCGGAACTCGCTTTGTGACTTCTAGCAGGATAGAGTCCTGATAATTTGTACATTTAATTTTTCGTTATTGAATAAAAGTGCTCTTAGTCACCTTTTCTAATAACAATTCTCGCAGTGTAATTAGGCTAATCCTGAGTTTGTACCTCAGCGATAGCAGGCACCTAAAAGCACTTTTAAAACTTAAAACACTGCACGAAAAGCTGCATTCACATTAGCTTCTATGTGGAATTAAAATTTGGCTACTGAAGCGTGCTCAACTCCACATATGTATGTATCTGCAAGTACATACATATAGTATATGGACAAACAAAATGGGTAGGAAATTGATTTAAAGCCTAAAGCTTGCTACTTTTTAAAGCGGAAGCTTTTATCGTGTGCACGACTGTACAAAACGTGTATAAATATTAAGAAGCTTTGCAAAAGAGCAGGACGGTATAGACACCATTTTATGTATATGAGCAAGGATAAAAGCGCATTCGGGCTGTCACTGACTTTCTGCAGCTGTTAAAGTTAAACTTAAATAATTTTATAATTAGGGACGTGCTAGGATCCACTACTAACTGAATCCTTGAATACCTTTTTTCGGTGGCTAAAATCTTGTTTTTAAAGAGAATCATTAGGCCTGCGTGAGAACTTACCCTGAATTCGATGATCCTGTTTTTTTCTACAGCCTAGTAGCAGGAAACAGGGGAGCGGACAGCTGACAAACCTAACCCACACATGCGATTAGCAACGGTATAATGGCTAGTTAAGATACATACGATAAATAAATAAATTGCAGAGATGCCGAGATGCAGAGAGTACCAGA